ACAGCCTCAAGTATCATCTGAATTTAGATATTAGAAACGGGAATTTTTGTTTCCTCAAAACTATTTCCATATTCATTTATTCAGTCGTACCAAGTTAAATTGTTCATCTAAAGGAAGAAGTAATATTTTCGCTACCGTCTTTGAAACATTTTTTTTTTTTTTTAATTTTACCTAGCTAATAAGAATCGAAAAATAAATATCCGAACTTTTAAAATGTTACATATATCAGAAAATATAAATTATGAAAAAACATTTTTCAAATCTTTTCAGCATTTCAGTACTTTTTTTCAATCATAAAAATAATTTTACCTTGTACATGCAAGAAAAAATCGACAGCTGTTGCATAGTAATATTTTACTCAATTCAGCTTTAACAATTTTATTACCAACGCTCCCCGAAATAGAAATATTCATTGGCTGTTGTTCCCAATTCAGCTTTAACAATTTTACGAGGGCTATCCAGAAAGTAGATTACGTTTTGGAATAAAAAAATAAACAAAGTATAGGAAACAAATTTTATTATATACAGATGAAAGCCACACTCAAATACTACTTTTCTACATAGTCACCATACAAATTAAGGCATTTATCGTAGCGATGTACGAGCTTGGAAATTCCTTCGTCGAAAAATTCGGCCGCCTGCGCCTTCAACCACTTCGTTACCTCTCCTTGCAGCTGTGCGTCGTCATCAAAACGCTGCATAGCCAGCCCACTTCTTCATTGCTGGGAATAGGTGGAAGTCGCTCGGTGCCAGGTCGGGACTGTACGGCGGATGAGGAAACAACTCCCACTTAAAAAGATTCAAGAACTTTACGAGTGACATTTGCCGTGTGGGGCCGGGCGTTGTCGTGAATCAACAAGATCTTAGAGCTCAACATTCCTCTGCGCTTGTTTTTGAATTGCTCTTCTGAGTTTTTGGAGAGTTTGGCAATACCTTTGAGAGTTATTGTTTATTGTAGTGCCTCTTTCCAGGAAGTCCACCAAAATTACACCTTTTCTGTCCCAAAAAACAGTCGCCATCATTCTTCCTTGCCGACATTGTTTGCATGCATTTCTTGGGTTTTTGGGGAGAACTTGTGTGCCCCCACTGCATTGATTGCAATTTCGTTTCACAGTTCACATGTTTCACCCATGTTTCGTCACCAGTAACGATGCGATCGAGTAAAGAGTCACCATTCTTATGGTAAGCGTCCAAAAAGTTCAACGCTGCAGCCATTCGCTGATTTTTGTGGTCCTCTGTCAAGATTTTTGGAATCCATCTTGCACAAAACTTGTGGTAACCAAGCTTTTCGCTGATGATTTCGTGCAACAAACTTCGCGAAATTTGTGGAAAACTCAAAGAAAGTTCCGTTATTGTGAAATTTCGATTTTCAACGGACTTTAGCATCGACTTTTTCGAGAAGTTCGGCGGTCACTATGCTGGGTCTCCCACTTCGATCTTCGTCGTGAACATTGGTTCGGCCATTTTGAAATCTTATGACCCACTGACGCACTCCACCTTCAGTGATAATGTTGTCCCCATACACTTCACGAAGCTGCCGATAGATTTCTATCGGTTTACAGTTTTTTGCAGTCAGAAACCTTATTACTGAGCGCACCTCGCAGCTCGCGGGATTTTCAATTAACGCAGACATTTCAAACCGTCACAGTATCTGAACGGAGCACAGCACGAACCTCTCACTAGCACGGCTAGATGCAGACTGATGCTCTGACCCCAAGATGGCCGCGCTAGCCCCGCCCCAAGCGGACACAGACGGAAACGTAATCTACTTCCTGGATGGCCCTCGTATTACCAACGCTCCCCGAAATAGAAATATTCATTGGCTGTTATTCCCAATTTAGCTTCCATTTTCATTTTCCTCGTATAAAATGAGGGGTTAAATTTGTGGCTTTTCAGTTTACGCTCTTTGTAAACCCAAAGAATCACGTGATCTGTGTTAACCTACTCAGTGATTCTCGCATTTGACCTCTGCGGGCACAACAGTTTTTTTTTTTTATTATTATTATTATTACACAAATTTTAAATTATTAACATATTGTTACAACAAAAAATAAATTTTAGTGTTCATTGGTCCTCATTCAATTCTATTTCAGTTATCTTTTCCCATTTTTAGAAAATACTATATAGACAAGATTTTTGCAAAATAAACATTCGTTTGAAGTTACTTGAGTGCAGTTTTATCATAACTAATTAAATGAAGCTTTCCCAAATGAAAAAAGTGTCCGAACTCGGACTTTTTTTCAAAAGTCAAAAGGGAGATTAAATCTTTTTTACAGAAGTAAATTATAAAATGTTATGGCTAAAACTCAAAGATAACAAGTGATGTTTGCGTCTCTTATGCTCTTAATATGCGACTGAAAGTTGGTATTGAAATAACAACATAAAACCTAAATAGTTAAGAAATATTATTTTAATCCCCAAATAACCTGAAAAAACTTTTTAAAAACTGTTTAACTGAGATAAGAGAAGCCAGGAATAAAATGTACAGACAGTTCCATTTAAAGTTCATTTGGAAACAAATCAGTCTAGGCTCAGTACGGAACACGCTGAATGGGTACTAGGCCCCTTGCCACGAAATTAACCAAAATTCATGTTAGGTTATTAGAATACAGAAAAGCATAAGAGGGCATGCCTTCATGAGGCCTTTCTGTGGCAAGTTGCTAGTATTCACGTTGGACATAAACCAACCACGCAAGCAGCTCGTCGCAAAAACTGAACTCGGGTCGAACTCCAAGTATTCAGAGGTCTACGCCAGGGCTTCTTGAACTTTTTTAAGTCGCGACCCCTTCTTATCACTGAAATTTTTTCGCGACCTCAGGACCCCATAATATTTACGAAAGTTTTGTGGGACCCCATAAGCACTGCGGAAGCCCGACACACGCGTGAGTGAAACTGTCAGTTTTTTTACTTGTACTGTAATATACTATTGCAGTTTTAAGTAATTAACTTTAAATTTCTAATATTAAGACATAGAACAATGTGAAAACTTTAAGTAACGGACGAAATGACAGCGTCACATGCAAAGCAAGTAAAATGAACGTTTATATTATGAAAAGAATGCTTCGAAACGTTTTCGTTTTTTCTTGATTACTTGTATTGTCTATTTTAAGATACATTGTGTAAAAATATTTGATAACTGTAAAATTATTATAACAAATTAGAGAAATATCAAAACTGCTAAAATTTTTGGCGACCCCTGCTGCAGGTCCTGCGACCCACAGTTTAATAAACTCTGGTCTAAACCATTCGCACCAAGCGAGTAATTATCGCCTTTTCTCCAGATTTTTGGTGTCCGAACCAAACACTATTGGAGACTCAGCTATTCATTATGAATTCTTTTATTTATTATGGATGATCTAGAAAACATTTCCTAAATAATTTTATATTACAAAATTGAGACTTTAATATTTTTAAACTATAGCCATCATATAGAATCGGTTATTCAATGTGTAAAAAATTGCTGCTTGCGCCTCTAATCAAAAGCATCGTGAAACAATAATAGATTGCATTAATGAGGAAAAATAAATGGAATAATCATATATCTATCGCATAAAGTGCGACCAGCAAAATGTAAAACAACTATTTTCAAAGCCTAGTTTGCTCCGAAATTATCGGCATCACGTATGACAATTTTAGAAAATTAAAATCTTAAATTTTAATATCTGCTATACGTGAAGACATTGAAAGAGATCCATCTTTTTATATACGCTATTTAAAAACGTTACGTTAAGAAATGTAATAAATTTATACATTAATTAGTATGATAACTATTTTGAAACACTTCGGAATAATTTTTTAATATTTTGAGTGCCCTATACATACATACCTGTCAGTAATCAAAACACAGTTTTTTTTTAATTACTAAATTCTTTTTTTTTAAGTGCTCAGACATTAAAGAAGTTTAATAAATGTAATTTTTATATTCTTTAAAAGCAATAAATACTAGACAATTTTATATAGTTTATTTGTTTAATCTTATTATATAATAAAATAATGAAATTTAAAACCATAAAACGTGGAGTACATTTACATTAATTTTTTTTTTTCCCTTAATTCTCCTCAATTATAATTTCTGCAGAAATGCTGTGAATAAAATTTATTCTCTTTATTTTACATCCGTTAGGTTGATGACTTAATTGTATATAAATTTATGTTGAATGTATACATAAGCAATATAAACCAAATAAATACGAATCATATAAAGAAATGATGGCTTGAGAAATTTTAAGCACAAATTTTCGAAATAAAAGGATTTCGAAAGATAGTTATATTTACTATTAAAAATTTAAATTATAAAATTTAGTGGACCGTTTCTAATAACTTTACAAATACTTTATACACTCAAATACCATATTATATACTAATAAATTATTAACATTATATTGCTGTTAAATATTTAATAAATTAAGCAATAAAATAACAGCAATAAATATTTTGCCTAATAAGAAAGACTGGCCTTAATTTTTTTAATTAAAATATTTAAATTTTAAAAAAAAAAACGAATTTTAATAAGCTTTAATTTTGTTTTCATTAGAATGAGATATATCCAATATAAGGATGATTAAAAGAAACTGTGATTAGAACAAACTTTTATAATTACTCAGCAATAATTTTTTTATCATTCTTTTTTTTTTCCCCTCCGCAAAATTCGACAATTGTGTGCTAACGTAAATACGTGGGGAATTTTTCGTCTTATTTTAACTATTTATACTTATAAAAGCTTAATTTAATTAACTATTTTCGGTTATTAGATTACTATTAGAACTAAAATTTCCATTTTGTACAGAAGTTAGACGAAATTTGCATTAAAGAGTTCCGTTACCTTATCTTCAAAACTCATACAACATAAGATGACTCAGAATTTGTATTAATCAATTCTAACCGGTAAAGCATGCTCTGGAAGAAAACCTTAGGGAGGGGCGAATCGCACGTCACAAAACAATTATTGCAGTCTATAATTTAATATATGAATAAAATACTTCAATATAAATTCATCTTACCGTATTTTTAAGTTTTTCATAAAAGCATCTAGTGTAATATCCTCTAAAAGCACAAAATCACCAATACCGACCTCACCGAAGTCCGCCATTGTTACTTTCAAAATTGACAGCTCTGTACACTCTCAAAACCGGAATGCTCGTCAAGACAAGCGATCTGCGCGGGGGTTACCATTTACTACGCTTTTCTCGCCAACGAATCGCCAATAAATACTAACTCGGGAAATGGGGAATTTTGAAAATAGTGAGTTGAATTATTATCGTTTCGCGATTTCCCCCCCCCTAAATCAGTTAATCAATAAATTTCTTGACAATAGCTGCAGTGCATTTTAGTCAGTAAAATACTATCATTTATTATTATTATTATTATTATTATTATGTGTTATAGAAGTATGCTTTCTTTAAAATTATGCAAAATAAATCTTAGATTAGGTGTAATTACAGAAATGCTCTGTACATTTCTCGAATTAACACTAGTCTAAGTATGACCTAATTTTTGCCATTTGCCTCTAATTTGCTAGTACCTTGTTTTTTATTTATTCTCATACTTTGAGACTATTTCCTGAGAATCAGAATCTCACCTAGTTTCGTTTCAATTCGTTCAAAAGCGTTTTAGATAAATTGAAGTTTAAACAGATGTTGGCAAATGTGGTCTGTGTTCAATAAATTTACTGCTTAACATTGTTAAATTAAATACAGCAAATTAAATTGCTTAACATCAAAACTACGGGATGGATCTCTATCGCTTCATTTTCAATTAAACTATGTAAATCGCTCGGCCTTAGAATCTTCTGAAAGATTAAATGAAATGAAAGAATAAGAAATTAATGTGTGACAGCTTCAGGCGTAAACTGTGCAGCATAATTAAATTTACTCTTATTTGATGCAATTTCTCTGATTTTTAAATTAAAAAATGCACATTTTCTAATTCATGTATATTTTTATTTATTTAAATACGGAGTAGAGGAAGTATTGCTATCGTGAAAACTTTCGGGTATCTTATTTCAACAGAGATATCCATTTACTTTGTGACATCTGTACATACACATAAAATAAATGACTTCCCCCACCCAAAACGGATTATAAAATTAATTTAAATGGATTCAAACCGAATTTTTTTCGTGACTTCTACACATACGTACGAAAGGATGTATATGTATTTCGCATAGCTTAAAAAGAGTTACTCGTAGAAAGTTGAAATTTTGTAGATGGAACTGTTGTAACATCTAGCTGTGCACCACCCTTTTTTATTGCAATCGGCAGAACCCAAAGTATGTAGTAAATGAACATGCTTAAACCGGCCTTTGCTTTCGCATTTGTAGGTCATGATCATTTACTCCCAATTACAGAAGTGTTTTAAATGGCGAAATATTCACGTTTGGGGTATATCCAATAAAAAAAGAATAATTTAATTTTCGACAAATACCAAATCTAACTTTTAAGGTGGTCTTCCAGTTCCTATACTTATATTTGGGAAAGTTGTACATTTGTTATGAAAAAAATAAAATTAGAAATTTGAGTCTTCTACGATAAAAATTATCCAGGATACTAAATTTCAAAATTTGTCATATTTGATGTCATTTTCATCTTGCCTTGAGGGATCGGTAAATTGGTAAATTCAGTTACAATAATTTGACGGAATAAATTTAAAATAAATGAAGCAAAAAATGTGCATAATTTAATAGACCATACAAGGAAGTTATGTGGTGTCCACATCAGAATTTTTTTTTTTGTAACAAATAAAACAATTAATTGGAAAGCAAATGAATTTTATTTTTTCATTTACTGTTATTTTAGCAATGGCAATTTAAAAAAAATTACTGAGATAAAATAAAACACAAAGCGCGTTTTTTCTCGAAAATAAAATTAAACAATAACTTTTTTCTTATTTATGTAAGCTAAAAGTTCTCAAACTTTTTAAATATTTGTACCACACATCAAAATTATGTATGAAAACGAAATTAAAATGCCTAGTTTCGTTCTGAGTAAGTAGCAGTTGCCTCCTTTTGCAACGAACAATTAAATAAGCGCCATGTATTAAATTACTTGTTTATGACAAACGAATAATTAATAGACGTCGTATTTGTGCATAAATTCCCAATGAAAATCTAATGCCTGAGATCCGAATGCTTCAGTGTTGAATATCTATAAGGAATTATCTACCTCACATTACACTCTTCCAAAACATAACGTTATATTAAATTCTTCCAAAATACTTAATTGTACGTCTACACCAGCGGTTGTCAACTTTTTGACTAGCGCGTACCATCTAAACAAAAACTGAAAACTTTTAGTACCACCAATGCAAAGTACTACTACCACTCAGGGATAAATAGAAGTCCTTCTAAGTCCTGCTACCACCACATTTCTTGAACAAAGCTTAGATCCCATAAATTTATGAGTGTCACAAAAAAAACTCAGTCAGGATGTTGGGGTTTTAATTTTTGAATTTAATAATTAAAAATACTTTGCTTCTTTGCGTATCACCTATTTTTCTCTTGTGTACCACCAATGTCACGCGTACCACCTGTTGAGAACCCCTACACTGTTTTGAATCATTTCAGTATAATTAATTTTCCGGAAGTGACAACATTTGACACTGTTATTGTTTTAAATCCTTCCGAACTATAAATGGCGTGACATTAACTCTTTCTGTTACTGAAGTTTGTATATGAATAATATCCATAAAGTAGTGAAGCATGAGTGCTAAATGTGAAATACATGGTAAGATACATGGTTCCGGCTATTCTCAATTAAAATGCATGGGTTTATGTCACAATAGTTTGCCTGGCGACGAGATGAAGTACTTTTATTCTCAATTCATAATTTCATTATATTTCTTCGAAAGTAATTTTGTTATCTTGCATTTAATATATGATAGATCAGGAACAGTTTAAAGCACTAATCGATGCTATAAATCAGAATCAAGAACTGCTAAGTGAACTATTAGTAAAAGAGATAGAAATGCGTATTTCGAAAGAAATTAATAATGCTGATTGATTATTAATATTCCCCATGTAAAAGTATTAATCCTTAAAAAAAAGGAAAAGAAAATATATGATGAACTGAATAAAGATTTTGAAAATCATTTGGTGCTAAAGAAAAATCCTCTCATTTCACAACATTACTTTTTATCAATTTACAAAATACAAAACAGTTTTTTTCCAATTCCTGCTATTAGCTCACACTCTCCCTACATCTTGTGGCGCTTGTGCAACTAAAAATGTACGCACATGTTCTACGATGAGTCTCGGAGTGAGATGCTTCCGTTCATTAAAGTTGCTATAAAGTTAAGCCACTATTTTATTTGGTGATTGTGTGCTATGATCCTTTGAGTTGTGTGAAATAAAGGTTAATTCAGTCTAAAGTAGTGTCATTTTTTATGAAACTAGGCTATTGACCATAATATTCATTGTTTTCTTCTATAATCTATAGATAATGAGGACCTTCTCTGCTACGCTATAGTTTGCTTGGAACAAACTTGCACTTTTATACAAAATCCTATGCACGAATGAATCTCACATAGGTCTTTTTACAGGGAAAGAAAAATATTCGGCAAAATATTTAATTTTTTGCTTCCTGGAATATACAGAGAAATTTGGGGCAGTTATTCCCTAAAGATCACCCTTTGACAAGAGTTCATTGAAAAATGGGTTGTTGTTGTCTTCCATGAATTTCATAGAGGAACGGTTGCTAGAGTTTCAAAGAGATTGGACTGCTAATTCCACCTCAGTTTTGAATGAGAGCATTCCGGGGGGGGGAGGGTAATACGAGGGCTTCCCACCCCTCTCCCCTTCCACCAAACTACACGAGAATCAATCAATGCAGCTTATGCCGGAGTGTCGCAATGGATACACGATGTATCCGGCTCAATGATAGATATGCCGCAAGGGCGCATGAGAGTACAAGTACAAAACGTGGTAGGAGGATTTTCAGACTTAGAAAAAGAAGGGTGTGATTCAAGACATCACAAGCAGCGATAACTCAGAAGCAGCGATAACCAGGAGAGGCGTTGCTAGAGAGGTGCATGTGAATGTGCATGATCATGATGAGTGAGTGGAAGATATCACAATACACTGTGATAAGTTTATTTGATCTGGAAAGATACATGGAAATACAACAAATAAAATAAGATTCAAAAATAACAAATAAAAAATACTAATACGAGATACAATACAGTAAGCAAACTATTTACATAAGCGATGTTGCCTAGGAAATGTGCAAAGTTACTTGGGAAAATTTGAGTCACGGGCGAGGTGGGCCGCGAATGGTCGGAACTTATAATTCTCGAGAAGAATTACATAATCAAGCACCTTGAAAATTTGGAGGTGTGGGCAATTGACAGCCTTATCAAAGAAGTTACTGTTGGTCTTATGAATGAACTCCTCTATCTTTTCAATCTTTAAATCCCTATGCAGGGAGTCGTTAGACACATAATAGTGCGCATTGGTAATAAGTCTCAAAAACTTATTCTGAATGACCTGCAGTCTCTTTAAATCCTTCTAGAGTTGTCCAAGCAGGGGAGGCGTACGTGAAAATCGGGCGTACTATTGCCGTGTAGATGTGCCTTTTCCGAGTGAGATTCAGCTTTGATGTTCTGCCAATTAAAGGAACAAGACAGTTAATTGCCGAAAAAGCTTTTCTTCTTGCATTATTGATATGATCGCCCCAGATGAGTCTTGTGTTGAGTGTGACCCCCAAATAGGTAGCCTCTCTGACAACTGGAACGTTATCGTTGAAGATTTTTATAGTCATATTGAGTGGGGTCCTAGACTCTTTTTCATTACGATGATTTGCGACTTCTGTCCATTAATGGAAATCCGCCATTGGGTACACCACTGTTCTATGAGAGGCATCGTTTCCTGTAATTGCTTAATTAAATTCTCGGTTGATGGACTTTACGGCCAGAGCCGTATCATCCGCATAGCATCCAAGATACCTATTATGACCGGTGCAAACCTTGGGGAAGTCCGACACGTAAAAAAGGTAAAGTATTGGCCCTAAAATCGAGCCCAGTGCTACTCCTGCATTTAGGCGTCTAGAGTCAGAATTATCAGTGCCAATGTTAACGAAGAATTTTCTTTCTTTTATGAAAGAG